GGGGGGGGGTTACTACTAGGCTATCACACTAGTTACCTCCATGAAAAATGGAGGTATTGTTTTTGGCGCGTCTGTCTGTCTGTGTGTGTGTCTGTCTGTGTGTGTGTTTGTGTTTCCGCACATTTGTAGTCAGAATAACTTCATAACGCCTTTATGGATTATGATGATATTTGGTATGTTGGTAAGTCTTAGGAAGACAAAGGTCAAGGTCAAATATGGGCCTCCTGGTGGATGACCTTGGTACTGCAGCAGAACTTCTGGTTTTTGTATCTTTTGCCCTGAACATGCTATGGTCTTGATGTTTTAGTGACAGATAGATTTTTTTGACTGTGGCACAATGGTTTGTTAATTCAATTATTTTCAATGGTCTCCAGTCGAATGTTTTTGAGATGGTCCAAGCTGATATTCACCAGTTTCCCATCCCCAGAATGCAATGCGAAAACAGGGGGCTAACCCTTATTTGCATAGGACAGGAAGGCATCGGAATGATCCTGTTGACTTTAAACAGCTTGTTACTCCGTGAAGGAGGTCAGGACCTCCGGACGGAGTGTTGTGAACGGCTGATTTTTCATGTTCGCAGTCAAAACACTGGGTTCTCTTTGTGTAATCGGCACGCAATTTTATACGCCGTCTGCGGGCATGCCCGTGTTGATGCACGAATGTGTATTTTTGCCGTTGCTGCTTTCGCGGTCAATGTAATATTGCAGACGCACCCCTACAATTACGAGGCGAATTGGAATGGTCCAGAAAAACGCGTTGTTTGGAATAGCAGTGGGGGGGGGTGGAACTTCATGCAGATACGGGGTGGTTTTTATAAGTGGTTCCAGATGTTTTTGCCCATGGTTAAGAGATGCCATGTTTTTTGGAAGATGTTCGCAGCCAAAACGCATTCTTCCGTACGTCGCATTTCTGTGTAATTTCGCATGTGGTGTGGCATTATGTCCGGGATGATGCACGTCTTTTTATTTTTACCGTAGCTGTTTTGATATTGGAGTAAATGCTTATTTTCGAAACATCCCCATGTCGTTGAAATGTTTTCGTCCGGCCGTTTATGTGACCGGTAGTTGTAAGTGGCGGTCAGGCTGATAGGGACGGAAATGTGGGGTGGTCAGAGGTCAACATTACGAAATGTAAATACCGATGACGTAATCCTATCGATTTCAAACTGGTCGGCTGTGGCGACCTAGTGGCGGCGTGTATTTGGTCACGTAGCAACTGGCCGGTCGTCCTAGCAACGAGCATGCTGGCCACTCCACTTTACACATGGCCAATATTTTTGGGTTGGGCCGCTCCATAGTGTTTAAATATAATAGTGGAGCAGCTCTTTGAAAAAATGGACAATATTTTTGAGCGACCCATCAATGTGTTCTCGGCCTCGTGGTCGGATGTGGTCTGGGGCTGGTAAACCGCACATACTAGTAGATCGGGTAATTTTATGATTTGCTAGTTGTAAAGGCGTCTTGTAGTATGAGCCGGTATATGAAGAAGTATCCTGTGTTACACAATCATGCTTTCGGCCGGATTGATGTGCAACTGTTACTAATTACAGGGACTGCGCTAATGCCGACCAGTCGCGCTGTCCTGATACACCGCGAATGTTGGGCAATATGCGAGTGTTCCCTGTAGACAGTCCCAGGAGTCATTTTTTTCGCACATTCGCACATTCCAGGAGCCAAACCAAAATACGTTCATGAACCGAGTCCAAAAAACCGAAACATGAAAATCGGATGATCGGACCTGATGTACATTTCTCTTTCTGTAGATTGTACACACAATACACACATCTTTAGATAATCTGGCCATGGCAGGTAAAAAAAAAAGTAACCCTGAATCATACTAGATTAGCGTAAATGCATGTTTATGCGTTCAAAACAAGAAAAGAAATTGTTTCCCGGTATTAATCTCTTGAAACACGGCGCTGAATATTGACGCAACAATATTTCGGGCATCGCGCCCTTCCCCGTTGTTTAGACTGTATGCAAATCCCGCGTCACGTGTCGGCATTTCGCATCTCTGATTGGTTGTTGCGTCTTAAGATGACTGAGCCGACGTGCGTTTAAACAATTTTCTTTGTTCGATTTATCACACTTCACAGAGAATTGTCGCCAATGGCTACTTCTTTTTGTTGCAATATATAATACTTCACGGAGAATTGTCACCTATGGCTTCTTGTTTTTCATTGTGTTTTGAGGTGTTGGACCATTTTATGCTCAATGTTAATTAAATTACTATGGGTTGAATATGAAAACAAATAGAGAATGAATTTTTTTGAATATGTGGTTTGTAACGTTATAGTGGTAACGCTTTACTGATGCTGTAACGTTACAAACCACATGTTCCATGTTGAAAAACACAAAAACTTCAGATTCGGCGCATAGTAATTTAATTAATGTTGAACTTAAAATGCCCCACACCTCAAAACACAGTGAAAAGCAAGCTGTTTAACGTCAACAGGGTCATTCCGATGCCTTTCTGTCCATGGTACCATGTAACAGGCTACCTGTGGTGTGAGGGGTCATTAATCACATCTTCTCCTCCCTATGCTGGAGAGCCTTTTCCAAGGCCTCCGGCCAGACCGAGCCTCACAGAGATATTTTGTGTCCAGTGTGCTATGGGTCTGGAACCCAGGCTAGCTCAATCAGTCGTAGGTGACCAAAGTGATGACTGGTGGATGGTTCTCTGTCCGTCTGAAACTCCGGATTGAGCAGATTTCCTCTGAGCCAGGTAATTAAGAGCTACACATTTATGGCGAAGGCGCAGCTGTCTTTTAAATCTCTGGTATTATCGACGTTAAGACTTTTTTTTTTCTATTTCCTACAAGTCGCGTTAAGCCTATGACGCTGTATAAGCTACACCTGCCCTCAAAGGTGTTACGATTCTACAATCGTCGGGACTTATTCGGAAGCTAAGCTGCTAAGCATACAAGGGCAGTTGACATATTAATACACTTTAAAAGAGCGATATAATGTACCTTAAAGTAGATAATGCTACCTGATCTGTAACTGTTTTTAAGATGACTGTCTAAGAACATAATTCTCCTACATTTCCATGAGTTTTAACTAATAACGACAGCTGGTATGTATGAAAGGTGCTGGTGTGCAAATGTCTTTAAAGAGGAAATCTAATGTAATTCAACGTCGCAGGTAACACTGTCTAAGCTGCAGGTGTCTTTAAAACCTGGCTCTTTGATGCTCTACCCGACTTCCGTCAAGAGAATTTGGCAGCTGGCAATCTGGACTAGTAATGCACTTTAACAAGTAATCCTAATGTATCATGTAATCTGGCATGCAGCTGGTCTTGACTGTCTTCCTGTAATGACAATAGCTTCACAATATCCCTGTTTCCGGAGTTTCAGCAGGTTGGGTTAGTGACAGTACGCATCACTGTTTAATGGGCAGATCTATCGCGTTTCGTAAGTAGGAATAACGAATAACACAAGAAGGCCTGCAGGCTGTCTATGGTACTATGCATATGCACTAAGCTGACCAAGGAAAATGTATTCGCTCTGTACGGACTTAAGACATTTGCACAGGACGGAAAAAAACAAGAAAGGAAGACAAGATGAATTACCAAAAATTGTATTTTATTATTCCCACATGTTTTTGATGACAATTAATAATATTATACGTGCACATGAAAACACTGGTAACGCAGACACAATTGGCATCTATTTCTCAAACCACATGTGCACACATTTCAACTATTATCAATTTAACACTTGTATCCAGTAGTATAAAGCAATGAAGTACTTACTAAACGACAAATTTCTCACTTGTCACAGTCCATGTCTCCAACGCCGATGGTAGCTAGATTGACGACGTCTACTGTAAGATCTCAAGTCTCGTGCTCTACATTGTATTACTACTGTAATTCGCATTACACAGAACCAACTGAAGCTCTCTTGATGCATTTTCCAGTCCTGTGTAGTAATCTGTTGTGTTTCTGTCCTAACTATTTTGACCGTCTCCTGTGCCATTCTGTTCCTGTCCGGTTTGTCCACGACCAAGTGTACGAAAACAATGTAGGCATCCACGGTAAGGACCAGTGAGTTGTTGCCAAATTGCATTTCTCAAGTCGGCCATGCGAATTATGTTTGCCAATGGGTTGAGTGCGGAGTTCAACGTCATAAGAAAAAGCAACAAACTCGTGAAAGTCCGAACTGAGCACACATCTCTGTTCCGGAGGCAGGCATGGCCATACGGGAGAGCTGCAAAACCAAGCAGCCAGCAGACGAACGCCAGCGTCACAAGAATCATCACACTTCTTGCCTTTTTTGCGCTGGCGTCCAATTTCCGCTGAGCTTCGTCCTGTGCATCGTGACCTTCGCTATTTCCAGCCCTGCCTTGGTTTTCTCTACCTTCCGCCCATCGAGTCCCACCTCCTCTGAACTGTCGCGGTCTTGTCTTTTGACGCCGTTTGATGCGCACAAAGACGCTGATGTTTGTAAACATCATGACGAAACATAGAAGTGCAATTATGGAAGCTACAAAAATGTTATAACTCAAGGGGCCTACGTCAATGCAGCGTTCTACGGCTGCGATATCGATGGAGCTAATATATACACAATTCCAGCCCATAAAAGTTGAAAAGACGCACAATGACAGGACGACCCACGAACATACGATAGCTACACAAGCATTCCGCTTGGCCCTAGGAGCGTTGTTGTGGAAGAAAAAAGGGTGCCTCACAGCTATGTAACAATCTATAGATAAAAGAGATAGAGCTGATGCCGACATCGTCTGGGTAAATATCACACAAGTAGTAAAGTAAAATATAGCAGTCACTCCGTATTGAGCCAACTGCCCGAAAGCTA